GTAGAGTCGGAGTCATAAAGTCGCATTCGTAGAACCGCATTCGTAGAGCCGCATGTATTTTTGAGCATAAAGAGTTCTAGTCAGAGTCGAAGAAAAAGTACAGACTCCTACTCCGACTCAGAATGATATGATAATAATAATTTGAAACTAGAACGTAATTTGTTCCACGTGCAACTTATTAGGCTCATGACCGATTCGATTGAATTTGTATGCTCACCATGAAATCTAACATGATCCTTCTATGCCAAGTTTCTTTCATCTTCTTCGCATTTCAAGCTAATTTCTTAACGCATATTAGCTAATTGCGTGCTCCAACTTTAGTGTTCTAGATGCACTTCCACAGTTATCAATTGAGAGGTTTCGATGCTTGCACCATTTTTGCATTATTATAATTGTGTGGTAAGTTGTATTAACTTCATGTAGTAATGAAATTGGATTGTTAGCGGAATGCTTAAATAAAACAGCAAAAAAAGGTTATCTTCCATTTAATTCCACTTAATTAAGGGGGTTAGATTTTGATAAATTCTTTAGTGGGAATGACACTGATGAAGACTGCACATTGTAGTCGACATACGTATCTGTCATGGATACCAAAATTAATTCAGTGGATTTAAATGGAAGATAACCTTTTTTGCTGTTTTATTAACTTCATGAAAATGTGAGACTATTTTATGAAATTTATATGATTATCATGGGAATTTCAAGGACTTAACAATTTGATGAAAATGTAACTAGGTTGAGTAGAGAACTTCAAGACAGATACATTAAATTAAAGTGAATGCGATATCTTCTAGAAATTCCAGAGATCTTCAAAGAAATTTAGAAAGTTTTAGATACCAGATTTTCAAGATGTTTTAAAACTTTCCTTATGTTTCCGCAGCTTGTTTATTAAGCTTCACTTAAATTCTAAGCATTTCCTTTCATTCCTCAGATCTTCTGTCAAGTTCATACAATTGATGTGAAGTTAATGAGACTTCACTGAAAATCTTTCATAAAGTTAAATGCAAACTTGAATAAATCATATTTCTCCATAATCATGGCACTTTGAAAATTTTCAATATCTTGAACTTGTTTGTCGAATATTTTGAGATCTTACTAAAACTAGAACTCACTTAAATTAAATAAATGATAATCTTCGACAATACAAGGATTTGATTGCAGCGTTGTTTCTTTAAAACTGATTGTTATGTCTTAAAAATTATTACGTTGGTTGCCGTTGTTGTTGTTTTAACAAAACTGTTTTATTTTTAACTCATTTATAAAATAGTTATCTTATTGTTTACCTCCGTTTTTAACTCATTTATAAAATAGCTATCTTATTGTTTACCTCCGTTAATGTTCTAGAAAACTCAGAGAATTTTATTTAGCCAAATTAGAAGACACCCTGTATGAAATTATAGACAGTATTTATTAATAGAAAGTGTTCCAGAATATCAAAGAGTACTCAGAATATTAAGTATTAATAAAATTTTACGCATTCCTTAAGAGAATATTAAATATTTAGTAAAACAACCCATGATAGATTGATTTTCCAGGTGATTTCTTCGATTTTTCCCGGTGGAAATATGGCTTCGTTTTTCACAATCTTAAAGCCGTGGCCTTTCCAAGATAAACATATGTTTCATTGGTTTTAGTTCTAAGTAATCAATGACTGCTCGTGACCACTCACAACCATAGCACTACCTTAGACGCCACTGCGGTGCAATAAAAAGTTTTTAGATACATTTTTTTTTTTCATTTGAATCGAAAAGATTCATGTCAGATTTAAGCCTTTTCATGAACGTTTCGCATGGAACTGCTCTGTATATAAGTTAAAATTAGATTCTTAAACTTTTTTCAACATATTTAACAAATCGGAACAAACGTATCAGTGGTAAATTAATTAAAGTGACCATAGAGCATCACTTTAAATTCTATCGTTATTATTATTATTTTTTATTATAACTGTCTTAAAAATACAAAATCTCTTCATGAAAAGAACTGGTTCAAAATTCACCAATCTTACTAAAACATTTCGGCAACCATTATTCCGACCTTCTAAAACCATTTATTAAAAAATACGCATTCCATCACAGTTCCACTCGATGTGAAGTAACGCTTCGTCACTTTTTCCTCTTTAATGTTCCAAATTTTCTGCTTATGATTATCGTCCCTTCTACTGCAGTGGGTCCAAGCGCACGCCAACAGTTTGTGCCGATGCGAAGAAAAAATCCAATTAGGCGATGAAACCCATTTTTTTCCTCACAGCTACGTAGAGCACGTGTTTACAACCATGGCTGGCCAGGCGACTCCGAATATGGCGAAGGATACCTACTTCGAACAGCATGTGGCAAAGGAAATGAACGAACCCCAGCAGGTTTCAGCTCAAATCAACAGTTGCTGTACCGTTCTGATTCGAATACCAGACTTCTTAGCCATTTTTGAGCTTTGATTTTTCATGCTCACACAGCTTAAAATTCTGAATTTTAATTGTGATGTAAAGATACATTCACGTAAAATTGTATTACATTTCGCTCAAACGAGCAACTTGTAAGGAATGTTGTTTACAAAGATGGACATTTGTATACAATAATTGCATCATTTCATGAAATATATGATATGATATGTGACGCTCCATTAATTTTTTTTCGAACTGTGCAGTTTAATGTCAGAATAAAGAAATTGTGCCTCTCTTTGAATTTAGAAATAAATCAACTGTTAGAACCATGATTAGATTTAAACTTTGAACAACTCACTGACATTTAATCTTTGATGCAGTACGGACATCTGATTCAATACTCATAATTTGTGTTAATATTTTTAAGTGACAAGAATACATATGCGATCGAACTCCAGACGAATCTAGAACCACACTACAGTTCATACTGGTGACAACGCGCTGATGAGACAACGAAACTCCACCATCAAGCTCCACCCCTGATCATATCCTTCAACAATAAACCCCTCAAATCTCGAGTAAGCCGCGAGTATTCGGCCCAACTCCTACTAGACATATTTAGAAATAAGATAATTTTGCTACAAACAATGAACAATGAATTATCGGCTCCGTAAAGCTAACATGATTGAGCTGTCCAAATAAACGAACTAGATAAAAAATTAGTTACGAGAATAGCAATTATATTTCCTTTCCTTTTTTTTTTCTTTAACTACTCCTTAAATGGTGTTGTGTCCGGAATATGAATCAGTAGGGTACTATTAAATAAACCATAATATCCGTTGGCCACCACATAACCTACAGGTGGTAATTTTCATCTGGTTTCTGAATACACGAATGAATCATGGTTTCATTTTGGGCGTGCTGCGGAAACGCAAATATGAATAATTCAAAGCCCCGAGACATGAAGCTTGATGATGCTCATCCAAACCGGCAGAAGCGGAAGAAAAGGAAAACCGGAATAGTAGCCATTTAATCAAGCAGAACTTGTGATGTCCGTTTTGCGTTCTTTTATATAATCTGAAAAACTTTTCATTGCGTCAAGGTGCCGGAATTCAACGCGATAATAAGATATAATCATTATTCATTACGAAAGTGGAATTCCAATTAGTAGGGTAGAGCGCTACTTCGTCGTAATCGCCCATTTCCGTTCCTTCGATCAGAAAAGATCAATAATATCAATGATTTCACCGTACACAAATCAATAATAGGTTTGTTCCGATGCGTTAGTTCATTAGCTACAACATAAATCCTGTTAGAGCGCATTGTATGAATATTTACGCTCATTGTTCTCAAAACAAAAGAAGCGCTCCCTGCGAATCTCCTTTTTCTACGTTTATCCGTAGGACGAAGTAAATCTAATGACGTTTCAATGCTTTAGGACGGAATTAAAACTCGTAGAACGAATTTAGAATCAAGAAGCAGTATTAGATTTTAAACAATTTGTGGATCTTTATTAAATCCAACGGTACGTATGGAAAGGTGTATAAATTTAGAAGTCATCTTTGACAGAAATATTCAATTTTTATTTTAAACTAGTTCAGAAAAGAGAGGTTAAGTGCGCGTTGTGCTTAGTAGGACGGAAATTTGATCAAAAACCCTACACGGAAACAAATCCGATTCCATTTTCATGAATAATAAATCATGAAATGAAAAAATTTGACATCCCATGAAATCGTAACAATGATTCATGATTTAGTCATGTAAATTCATGATTTCATAATGTAGTGGAATCAAGATCGCTACAAGCGTTACACATACTTGGCAAACCGTGTTCATAAACCGCACTACATAGGTATCTCTTATACGCCTTTTGTCTTCCATCTTATACAAGTACTGATAGTCTAGTGGTCAATGTATGGGTTTAATGATCTCAAGGTTCTTAGCTCGAATCCAGTCTCCGACGCTTTATTTTATTCTTTTTACATTTTTGGTTAAAAGTTAAACCCATGAATTTAGCTCATGATTTCAACTCGGTGGTTCATGATTTTGGAAATGTTTGCTGCGTTACGCAAAAGTTGCTCATGATGTCATGAATACTATTCATGGTGTATTTTCATAACATGAAAATACGCTGTGTTCATAAAATCATGAGTCATTTTTCTCATTTCGTCGATGGGATTTTTCCCGTGTAGGGGAAATGGCTCTATTGTTGGCCTATGGATCAAGATTGGGCCCATCGCTAAGAATCTGCTATTTATCAATTTTATCTAGATGAACGCGTCATTGGGACCGTACTAATGGATAATTTTGGTCGCTATTTTAAATTTAGTCGATTGTTGAATTTATGTATAGGCCCAAACTAGGGGCATTTAGGCCGACATTACATCCATTTCCCCTATGTCATTGAATTTTTTTCTCATTTTTCTTACTTGACATGATCAAGTCTGAAGGTTGTATTTCATTATCACAAGCTCATATCAGCAACCCTTGGAATTCGGTTTGAAAAAAGTCTTGCTCCTTCCTAGAAACGATTCAATTACTGACTCCAATATTAAGTCTACATTCAAGTTTCTTGTCCTTCCACGTTAATAATGTTCTTTCCTTTCATACATACTCTTTTCAGGCTGAATTCTGCTAAAAAGTACAAACATCCAACACACACCCGGGTAAACTCTAACCAAACTGAATGGTCTCCCGAAGAGTATAACATCCCGCAAGACAACCACGACAGCAAGCCAATATGAAACTGCCCAACATCGGTCAGCATGGTGGCGAAGGGGAGCCCGATCAATCCGTTGCACCCCTGCAGCTGGTAGTATACGTTTCGGTATCGCTGCTGATAGTGTCCCTGCTGGGGCTTCTCATCTACATCACGTGCTCCAAACGGTACCGGCTGAATTGGTTCGAGAAAAACCTACTGGAAACGGCCAAGGAGAGGGAGACGTACGGTCAGAGGTAAGGATTCTATATGCAGAATACATCGTGCTTATCAGTTTATGCGGATGAAAGAGTTTGATTACGCTCACAGTCGGTGCTGAAGTTGGAATGTCGAAAGGTTAAGGTCTGGAAGTTAGTGAAAGGTCCTGGTCACAAAAGATCAAACACATTTTATGTAATCTAGGGACGAAAGGTTAAATCAAAACGTGATTTTTTAAATGGATATTATGCTAGGGGCTTCTAGGGGCTACGCACAAGTTTCTTTCTATGGCATAAACCAACGTTTCTCAATCTTGGTGGGGCGAAGCCGGTCGTAATTTAAAATAATGTTTTCATTAATTATTAATTTTATAATATTTTTTTAGATTCACTGATAGATTTTAGCTTCAAATGCTAAGTGTCAGGATAATCCAACAAGAACTGAATTTTGTACATAGTGGTGAAGATGATTTTTGTGTTAAACTATATATTTTTGATCGTCCAATAAATAAATAGGGGAAATGGATGTACTGTCGACCTAAATGCCCCTAATTTGGACCCATACATAACTTCGACAATCGACTAAATTTACAATAGCGACCAAAATTATCCATTAGTACCGTCCCAATGGCGCGTTCATGTAGATAAAGTTGATAAATAGCAGATTTTTAGCGATGGGTCCAATCTAAGATCCATAAGCCAACATTAGAGCCATTTCCCCTATGAAAAGTTTATTTCAATGGCATCATTTGTTTCATCCTTAATAATAAAAGCTATCGGTTTACACAATAAAATGACTTAATTTCCGTCAAACAACTAAGTTAATATATTACCAAACCACTATTTTAAATTGAAAAAAAGTTTTAGACATAGGGGAAATGGCACTAATGTTGGGTCTGATCGTAGTAGGTCGCGCTGAAGAAGTGACGTGTTTGAATTTTGCTCCCGTGTTTAACAAATTGTGAAGTTTCTTGCGAACATGTGTTTTTGTGTATTGGAATGTTTGAATCTGAGAGTGGAACAGTTAGAGCTGATCGGAACGGGGATCGTGAGCCAACATCTGGAGGTTCACCGACAATGCTGCAATGACGGTGCGTTTATTCCGATGCACTTCTTCCCGAGGCCAGAGCAAGGGGAAACTGATGTTGCTATTATCAGGATCAAGGAGATGGAGCTCGATTTGTGAGAACAAGTGATCTTAAGACTCACGAAGAGGCGGGCTAATTACAGATCATACGGGTGAGATCCTTCCTTTTTATTTCATTTGTTTGTATTATAATTCTATTAGTAGGGGTAATGTCTCTTATGTTGGCCTATGGATCTAAGATTGGGCCCATCGTTAAAATCTGCTATTTATCAATTTTAACTAGATGAACGCGTTATTGGGACGTTACTAATCGATATTTTTGGTTGCTATTTAAACTTTACCAAATTATGTCCCAGGGTCAGGTGAGGAGCTCGGCTAGCTTGGTTGCTGCCGCTTTGGCTTACTGAGTAGAAGATCGTGGGTTTACTCCCAAGCACCTCCAAAATAAAACAATTTCTAAGGTCGCATCACCTGCTTAAGCGAATCTTGACCCAACTCCGTAGCATTTATGGGGGTGTCTATATCGTTAAGTAGAGGGTATACCAACAATATCCTTGCTTTTCCCGTAACGTAGAAGCTGGGGCTGGCCGGCACTGGCTATTGTCATGCTTTTCCTGTTCTGAATTCTGAATGGAAAGCTATTTACTCCTAAATAGTTTTCCATAAAAAATTAGAATAAGAACGTTAAAGTAGATACATGACACTTGCCAGATTCTGAGACTTAAACTGGATCGAATTTCTGGATCTAATCTAATCTAATCTAATCTAATCTAATCCAACATCAACACATCCAGTTCTTGAAAGCATCCTGGAAAATGATACATAAACCTACATCATTTTTATTGTCTATTTGATCTATGTTTCACATCGAAGATGCGTCACACTTATCAAAACGGCCAGGCCTACTGTGCAAAATTTAAGGGGCAAGATGATTCAGAAAACATCGGGCCTGTTTAAATCGAAGATCTAAACACCATGCTTCATAATCCAATAAACGGATGAAACGTGGACATCTCGTACCGTCCGTTCCGATTTTGGTAATTATATGATTGGTTGGTCGTTGGAACCATCAAATCTAGAAAGGTTAAGTGATGTTCCATTTTCTTCTGACGGTTGGGGCATGAGCACTAACTCTTGTCCTAGCCTTTTTATGACTTATGGCTATAGCGCCATTACTCGCTTTCTGAAAAGAGAAGAGGGAAAAGAAAAGGAGAAGGACAAAGGGAAAAGGATTATGTGATATCTATGAACATAAACAATATTTTTGATTTGAAATATACAATAAAGAAATGCAGAATGGTCACTACCCGAGTCTTGTCACTATTATCATGTCATTAAAAGTAACAAGCAGTGTTCACTCGGCTGTCAACAAAAGCAGACCACTCTCGATGTGTGCTACGCGATCGTCTGTTTTCTCGGCAGCAACCATTGTGTGGTCCTCCTCATTGTTCTTCATCAGCAGTTCTTTCGGTCGATGCGTCGTCGACTTTGGAAAGCAACCGTTTCGTGATGAGTGTGTGAGTGCTGACCACGTTTTGCGTCCATTGCTGCAATGGACGCGCTCTGACCCTCGTTGGCGTACAACAATTTGCCATACAATGAAACTACTGAAAGCGGCTCCAGTTCTGATGGAGGAGGCTTTTTGGATAGCGGAAGATAAAGTGTTTGTTGTGTTGTACCTTTTGACTATATTTTTAAGATGTATTGTATAGTGACCAAGAATCCTCGGCTCTGTAAAGTTAATTCGGTTGAGCCTTACCAAATAAATTAATAAACAAAAAAAAAAAAAAAAAGTAACAAGGACTAAAATGTGATCCCGTGCCGACGCTGGTGGTGTAGAAGTAAGCGTGACTGCTTTCTCACCCCAATGGGTCTGGGTTCAATCCCAGCCGAGGTCGGTGGGATTTTTCTGAGGCATAAAAATCTCTGGTCACGTCTTCCTTCGGAAGGGAAGTAAAGCCGTTGGTCCCGCCCCATGTATGTGTGTTGAATGGGTGCAATATCCTACGCAGGTGTGAAAGCTGCCTTCCTGCACATTCGATTGCCGTCAATGGATGGCAATCGATGTCCGTCGGTGATTGGCACTAGATTGCGGAACAGAGACCGACTTTAATTAAAAGTAAAAAAAAAAATAAATAAAATGTAATCCTTTGATTTCTGGAAAATCCTGATTCCCTAGTTTGAAGTTGTCGCGACTAGGGTTTGGTGGTAGATCTTATACCAGTAACGAACCACAAAAAGGTGAACTCCCAACGTTACTGCTTTGGAAAGATAAAAATTTACAAAATGGAACGAACTCACCAAGTTTAGCCAATTGAACATGAAGGCTGCTTGACATGTGTTGATGTAGAAGTCCAAATTGTAGACGAAGCTTGACGAAGATCAACATGAACTAGTCCGGTTTATGGTAGTTGCTCGCAATGCCTTCCTTCGATTTGAGAAAAACAAATGTTCGGATGTATGTAGTCGATTTTTGATGTACTTTGGCAAGCGTTTTCGTGGCCAATAGTCAGGTTAAACTCTGCGACTCAACGAATGATGGATCTAATGATGGCATGAATGATCGAACGCCTCATGGAGGTTCTACTTGTCTTCGGAACAGTTTCTCAGCGGGAAATAACAGGGACGTAGGGCAGGGCTTCTTCTGTCTTACTGAACTCACTGAGGAACTAGAAATTGTCTCCTGCCTGGTTATGGCCAGATCAGCAACCGATTATAGATACAAAAAACTCAACGGAAAAAAACAAACGTTAGGTTCGAACACACGCACAGCCTACTCTCTTCTAAACTAATTCGAATTTCTGGATATAAAAATACTAATAGGGCTACGGGATGTGAAGAGAGACAATCCGCAAAACTACCATAAACCGGACTAGTTCATGTTGATCTTCGTCAAGCTTCGTCTATAATTTGGACTTCTACATCAACACATGTCAGGAAGCCTTCAGGTTCAATTGGATAAACTTGGAGTACGTTCCATTTTGTAAATTTTTATCTTTTCAAACCAGTAACGTTGGGAGATCACCTTTTTGTGGTGCGTTGCTGGTATAATATCTACCAGCAAACCCTAGTCGTGACAACTTCAAACTAGGGAATCAGGATTTTCCAGTAATCAAAGGATCACATTTTAGTCCTTGTTACTGTTTATGACTTGATAATAGTGAAAAGACTCGGGTAGTGGCCACCGCGTTATGCATTTCTATATTGTATATTTCAAATCAAATATATTGTTTATGTTCATAGATTTCACATAATCCTTTTCCCTGTGTCCTTCTCCTTTTCCTTTCCCTCTTCTCTTTTCAGAAAGCGAGTGATGACGCTATAGCCATAAGTCATAAAAGGCTAGGACAAAAGTTAGTGCTCATGCCCCAACCTTCAGAAGAAAATGAAGCATCACTTAAAATTTCTAGCTTTGATGCTTCCAACGACCAACCAATCATATAATTACCAAAATCGGAACGTACGATACGAGATGTCCACGTTTCATCCATTTATTGGATTCTGAAGCATCGTGTTTAAATCTTCGTTTGAAACAGACCCGATGTTTTCTGAATCACACAGGCCGTTATGATATGTGTGACGCATCTTCGGTGTGAAACATATATCAAATAGACAAGAAAATGAAGTAGGTATATATATCATTTTCCAGGATGCTTTCAAGAACTGGCTGTGTTGGTTTTAGATTAGATTAGATTAGATTAGGTGAAATGGCTCTAATATTTACCTCTGGATCTAAGATTGAGCTCATCGCTAAAAATCTGCTATTTATCAATTTTATCTACATGAACGCGTCATTGGAACGGTACTAATGGATATTTTTGGTCGCTATTGAAAATTTAGTCCATTGCTGAATTTATGTATGGGTCCAAATTAGGGGCATTTAGGCAATTTTCATGAAGATCGTTTTTTACGGCATTTAGGAGCCACCCTATAGTGTAAGTAAATGTTGGAC